GGCAGGGCTGGCTCAGGTGGGAGCAGTGGGAGAAGTTTGTCCCGTGTCCCTCGTGGGGCCCAGGCTGCAGAACACAGTGCTGCCCCCCAGGCGCGCCCTGCATCTCGCTCAGTGCTGGGCATCAGGGGCTGCTGACGCAGCCTGAGGAGCTTCTGTGCCCCCGGCCCGCACACCAGCACCCCAGGAGCATCTCTGCTCCTGTCGGCCAGGATGGGCCGGGCTCTTAGCAGCAACACAGAAACGTCACCTGGTGGGACCGGCTCTGACAGGCCTGGGAGCCGGCCCGGGTGAGGACAGGAGGCACTGTGCCAGCAAGCAGAGGGGAGGCTGGAGTGGGGGCAGAAGGCAGAGAGAGGAATGGGGGGCAGGAGGCAGTGGGCTGTGGAGCTGGAGGGAGGCACAGCGACTAGCCCCCTAGGTGCTCTGGGCTGGGTGGGGCGTGTCTCCTGGGACTGGCTAGTGGCCGTGTGGCTCCTGGGGACAGCCAACAGGCTGCGAGGGAGCAGAGGGCCAGGGCGCTCCTCGCCCATGTGCCCCACAGAAGCCCCCAGCAGTGGCAGGTGTTTCTCTCCTGGGTGCCCTGGCCTGAGTCTGTCTGGGCTCCGGGGAGCCTGGCCAGGTGGCACTGGGGCTGTTCCGTGCTGAGGGCAGGCTGGGAAGGGGTTAACGGCCAGCCCATACCTGCAGTTGCATTTTAAAAATGTGAAATTAAAGCCCGTAATTTATTCTCCCCACACACGAAGGAGCAATTAGTTCTAAACACGGCTTAATCAGTCAGCGCGAGATTGATTTCTGTAGACTTGGATTTGGTGGCTGCTGGCGAGGAGCCAGGCTGGGAGCAATCTCCAAATAAATGAAGTGCGGAGAAGGAAGCCATTACATAATATGATGGATGGGCCCGGAGCTCGCACGGCTCCTCATTAGTATGCCACTCGAGGCTGGCAACCGCACCAAACTTTCTCCCAGGCACCTCGGCAACTTCCTTCCCCCTCCCCTGCCCCTTCCCCCAGCTGGGCTGGGGCTAAACTCTTCTGCCTCCCCCAGCACACTCAGCTGGGGCTCAGGGCCGGGACAGACACCTGGACCCAGGAGCCTGTTCAGCCCCAGGCAGCCTTTGTGCAAACTCCCTGATGTTCCCATCTCTGGCTTCCAGCTGGCGCAGCACGCCCCCTGCCTAGGCCTCAGGCCTGGTCTCTTCCCCCTCAGCTCTCGGCATTGTGCTGGGCACTGGGCCGCCTACAGAGGTACCACTTTTATTCCCATTTCACAGACAGGGAAACTGAGGCACAGCCAGGGCACATGCCTTTCTCCAAGGTCACGCAGTGAGTTGGTGGCACAGCAGCACGTAGAACCCAGGAGTCCTATCCTGGTCCTTCCCCTTCACCCCAGACCAGTCTCTGAAAGGGGCTCATTAGGGAGCAAAGTGCAGCCCCCAGCTGTCTGGTGGGGTCAGGTGCGAGGCAGCCTTGGGGAGCATTCATCATGCCACCTCCCACTCGCCTGGCTTTCTGTAGCGGCCCCACAAGTGACACATGCTATGGGCGGCTGCAGGGTGCCTGCTGGGAATTCCATGGGCAAACTCCCCCGAACTCCGAGGCATAATCCCCGGGTCACAGAGTAACGGTCCCCACCTCCCGCGTGCGTCCTGCCTGGACTTCCCTGCTGTAGCATCAAAGCGTGGGGGGTGAGCAGAGGGGCGTGGCCCTGCCTGGGGCTCCCCCTCAGAACGGAACCCCGCTTTCAATGGCGCCAGAAACGCACCCGTGGGTGAGGACAGTGCTGGCGTGGCACAGCTGGGGGAGCTGCGGGAGTCTCCCGCATGTCGGGCAAGCTCGCGTGTTCTCTGCCCGGGGTTTGGTTGCACCCTGGGGGAGTCTAATCACACCAGCCCTGGTGGGCTGTGAACGCAGAACCCAACATGCTGCAGCGTCAGACGGGCTCTGCTGCAAGCAGGCAGCACTGAGGTGGCTGCAGAAGCACCTGGCACCAGGATTCAAAGGTGCTGCTGAGGAAAACTCCGGGTCGGATATTACCACGCCCATGCCTGTGCACCAGGCTGTCCTCCTCAGGTACCTCAGGAGGCTGCAGGGGGAGTCAGGCCGGCAGCATCTCCCCCTCAATAGCTAAACTCTGCATTTGTTGGCAGGAGAGATGGGCCCCAGAACTCACATGCTCTGGGCTTCGGGCAGGTCAGGCCCACACCTCGTATTCAGGGGAGGATTTGGGGGCAGGATTTGCCATGCTGGGGAGGGGATCCCCGCAAGGGTTTGCAAGCAGCCCTCATGCCAGGTGTGTGATGCTGGGGAATGCGCGCCCTGCCCGCGGGCAGGCTCCGATCCGCCGGCAGCAGGCGGCTTCCTGCTGTGAGCGGAGCCCAGCCGCTTGGCTGCTGGCCAACTCTTCCCGCCGACTTGCTTTGAAGAGCCGCCATTCGTGCCGTGGAGCCGGGCCCTAGCCCTGGCGCTGGGCTGACCCTTCCTGCATGTGGGGGTGGCTCCCGATTTCCTGATACAGATGATGGGCTGAGGGAATTGGAGAGAGCTGGGACTGAGCCCCCTGGGCTGTAGCGTCCCCACCGCCCTGGCCTAGGACTGGCCAGGAGGGACCCACCCACCCTTAAGGGGCCATGCAAATGTAACCACACACCTCCTGGGGGTGGGGTCTGTCCCAACTAGTGGCACTGAGACCACTTAAAGCGAGAGAGAAAACGAGTCGGCTCTACAGCCTTAACTAGCAGCCAGATGGCTTTTAGCTCATGCTGGAGAGGCTCATGCACTAAGCTCCAGAAGTCCCCGGTTCAACCCCGCCCGCCGACCCTGGGGCCTGTCAGCATTACACATAGATTGAGCACAACTAGGCTCCTAGCTGCAAGGTCCATGAGCCTGCAGGTCTCTGCAGCCCGACTTGCTGCTGGGGGCTGAACTCGCCCCAGAGCCAAGGCCCACACCACTGCCCCTGGGCCAGGCCCAGGTCTCAGCCCTGCCCCCTCTGCCAGAAACACAGAGCCCCAGGGTACTTATCAAACCAGACCGTTCCCGCCACGGCGCATGCTTCTCCCGCTGCATGTGGGGGTGGCTGTGTAGCCAGTGGGCTAACACGCTGCTGTCTAGAATAGAGCGAGTCCAGTGCCAGCCTAACCCTGAGGCTCACCTTTGCCCGGGCCGCAGGGGACAGCAGGGTGAGCGATGCAGGAGCTTTGGAAATGTTTTCTTTCTTCCTTCGTGGTGTGAAGGAGGCGCGGCGTTCGCCAGGAAATAGTACCCAGGGCTGGGGAGAAGCGTTTGAAGCCAGCTCGAGCACAGGAACAGGGAGTCCGTGCCCACCGGGGGACTGGGAGAAAGGGCCTGTCTGCCAGGCTGGTGAGGGACTGGGCATGTGCCTGGTGTCAGTGAGGCAAGCGGGATGGGCATGCTGGGTCTGAAGAGGACTATGCATGGGCTGTGCTGGGAAGGGGGCCCTGAAGGAGGGCTCCAGGAGTCTGTGCTGGGGGAGGGGAGTTGGGAGTGGGACCAGGGAGCCACGGTTGGCCTGGTTCTGATCCCAGTCACGCTCTGACATCAGTGTCACTCCATCAGCTCCAGCGGAGCTGCTCCTGATTTACACCAGTGTGAGAGCAGAGTCGGGCCGGAGAGCCATTCCTGTCCAGCAGCCTTTGTGAAATGGAGTCTCAGTGCCGCTGCTGGGGGGCAGCCCCCCTGTGGCACCAACAGGCCCCCTTGCTGCAGCCACAGCAGAGAGGCCAAGGACTGAAGGTGCCGTGGAGAGTGAACTCCCAGTGGTCCCGCGCCTGGCCAGGCTGAGGCGTACTGCTGGGCTGGGGTGAAGGACGGAAGAATCCCATGCACTGCTACAGACTAGGGACCGAATGGCTAGGTAGCAGTTCTGCAGAAAAGGACCTAGGGGTCACAGTGGACGAGAAGCTGGATATGAGTCGACAGTGTGCTCTTGTTGCCAAGAAGGCTAACGGCATTTTGGGCTGTATAAGTAGGGGCATTGCCAGCAGATCGAGGGATGTGATCATTCCCCTCAATTCGACATTGGTGAGGCCTCATCTGGAGTACTGTGTCCAGTTTTGGGCCCCACACTACAAGAAGGATGTGGAAAAATTGGAAAGAGTCCAGCGGAGGGCAACACAAATGATTAGGGGGCTGGAGCACATGACTTATGAGGAGAGGCTGAGGGAACTGGGATTGTTTAGTCTGCAGAAGAGAAGAATGAGGGGGGATTTGATAGCAGCCTTCAACTACCTGAAGGGGGGTTCCAAAGAGGATGGAGCTCGGCTGTTCTCAGTGGTGGCAGATGACAGAACAAGGAGTAATGGTCTCAAGTTGCAGTGGGGGAGGTTTAGGTTGGATATTAGAAAAACTCTTTCATTAGGAAGGTGGTGAAGCACTGGAATGGGTTACCTAGGGAGGTGGTGGAATCTCCTTCCTTAGAGGTTTTTAAGGTCAGGCTTGACAAAGCCCTGGCTGGGATGATTTAGTTGGGGATTGGTCCTGCTTTGAGCAGGGGGTGGGACTAGATGACCTCCTGAGGTCCCTTCCAACCCTGATATTCTATGATTCTTGCAGCACCGCTGCTATTGTGTGGGGGAGGCTCCTTTACCCCGGCTGTCAGAGGCCTTGATAAATCCCCGGCTGCCCAAGCTAGTGCATGTCAGAGCACATGTGCGCTGCTCCTGCAGTGCATCAAAGGGAGACGGAGAGAGCCCCCCAGCTCTTCCCAGCCATAGATCTCAAAGCACTTGTACCAAGGAGTCAGTATCATTATCCCCATTGTACCAATGGGGAAACCGAGGCACATAGTGGGGCAGTGACTTGCCCAAGGTCACCCGGCAGGCCAGTGGCAGAGCAGGGAATGGAGCCCAGCTCTCAAGGGTCCTAGTGCAGTGCTTACTCCACACACACCATAGGGAAGCCCCCCCTGCTAGCCACTAGTCCCGGGGCAGAGGTGCTGGGGACTCTCACTGACAGAGGCTCTTTGTTTTGTTGTCTCCGCAGAATTCGATTCGGCACAACCTGTCTCTGCACACCCGCTTCATTCGCGTGCAGAACGAGGGCACCGGCAAGAGCTCCTGGTGGATGCTGAACCCCGAGGGCGGCAAGACCGGCAAGCCGCCGCGCCGGCGCTCAGTGTCCATGGACAACAACAGCAAGTTCCTGCGCATCAAAGGGAAAGCCAGCAAGAAGAAGCAGCTGCAGGCGACTCAGGAGCGTGGGGAGGAGAGCCCGTCCTCTCAGCAGGCCAAGTGGTCTGAGAGCCCTGCCTCCCACGCCAGCGATGAGTATGACGCCTGGGCTGACTTCCGGACACGAGCCAACTCCTCGGCCAGCACGCTGGGCGGGCGCCTCTCCCCAATCATGTCCAGCCACGAGCCGGACGAGCTGGAAGAGGACGACGGCACCCCATCCTCCCCGCTGATGTACCCCAGCCCCTCCAGCACCATGTCTCCCTCCCTAACCAGCAGGTGCTCCGTGGAGCTGCCCCGGCTGACCGACCTGACCGGCACCATCAGCCTGAATGAAGGGCTTGGCGAGAGCCTGCTGGACGATCTGCAGGACAACTACAACATGAGCCCTTCCCAGCCGCTGCCCTCGGGCGGCCTCAGGCAGAGGAGCTCCAGCTTCACCTTCAACTCCAAGTGTTCAACGCTCGGGGCAGCCACCAGCACGTACTGTGGGACCATCTACAGCCAGCCCGCCATGAACCTGCTGCGGCGCCTGCCCATGCAGACCATCCAGGAGAACAAGCAAGCTACCTTCACCGCCGCCGGCTCCTACCGGAACGCCTCTCTGCAGGACCTGCTCTCCTCCATCTCCTATGCGCACAAGGAGAGCATGGCTCAGGGCGAGCCGCCCATGGCCCAGGCCAGCATCCTGGCACCGTCCCGCAGCCACAGACAGAGCACCCTCATGTGCGGAGGTGGGGAGCTGGGCTTGTCCTCTTACCCCGCCCACTCGGCCTCCCTCATGAAGAGCAACACTTTGTACCACCCGTCACCAGCCAGCCACCACCCTGCTGTCAGCAACAGTGCCTTACCCACTCCTATCAGCCTTATGAGCTTGCCTAGTGACTCCTGCAGCCTGGCAGCCATGCCCCACCACGGGCATCTCCATCCCTATGTCAATACCCAAGGGGCACACATGAGCTTGCTGGATTCCCTCCAGGGCCCTTACCAAGGGGCGATCCACCCCCCTGTTTTGGGCCAGGACAGGTTCCCAGCAGACCTTGACCTGGACATGTTCAACGGCAGCTTGGAGTGCGACGTGGAGTCCATTATCCTCAATGACTTTATGGACAGCGACGAGATGGACTTCAACTTTGACTCGGCTCTGCCCCCACAGAACGGCCTCAACATGGCCACACTGCCCAGCGCCCCCCAGCCCCCCAACCAGAGCTGGGTGCCTGGCTGAGACGAAGCCGGACGCTTCCCACCAAGGAGTCACATGGGGAACAGTGAAACAGACTTTTTTTTCCTTTCTCTTCTGCCTTTATTTGTTCTGATGGGCTAGAGGCATCTGTTAAACCTGAGAGCCACCCAGACCACGAGCTGCAGGGTGACAGATCCGTCCGGGCGCAGGACACAGCCCCACCAGCCAGTGCATTGATGTGTGCGCCAGACTAGCTAGCTCAGGCTGTGCCGGGGAGCCCCAGGCCCACTCCAGTTCTCTCCCTAGCACTGTAAAACAAAAGAGAAAGCACATCAGGTGTGGGCATAAAGGCAGTCTGGAGCCAGCCATGCCCTGTCCCTCCTCTGCCCTTAGGGGGGTTCCCAGGCGAGGCAGTGCAGAGTCTGAACCCAAGGCATTCGCATTTGTCAGAATAAGCTTTCCAAATTGCCCCCCTCTGACTGGCCCCACCTTTTGTGCTCTTGTTTGGTTTGGTTCTCCCCGCTACCTACAGTGGGTGGCAGCCCTGGAGCAGAGGCACAGTGACTGCAAAGGCCCTTGTTTTCCAGGGCAGCTGCAGCCATCAGGAGCAGTTGGCTGGCTCAGAGGAGGCTCCCCCCCCGCAGTCAGCGTTAGCGTCAGCCTGCAGCCCCTTCCACCCACTCACCCGACAGCAAACCAGTGGATTTCCGTGTATTGTTTAAGCCTGTTCTAGAACCTGATATAACCCCGGGGTAGCTGGAGAGCCAGGGAAAGCCTCTGAACTCTGGAGCTAGCAGCTGGGGCCGCCTGCTGGCAGCACCCACGCGCACGGGGCTCTCTCCAGAGTTTGCTTCTGGATTCTGAGCCAGTTTGATCTCAGCCAACTTTGGGGATGGCCATGTTTTCAATCATCAGTGCCTGCAAAAATCCCAACCCACCGATGACTGGCAGCTGTCTGTATACAACATGCATGGTGCCATGCACAGTCGGTGCGTGCGTGGGCGGGGGCACAGGCGTGCATGCCCTGCACGTGCAAATGCTGGCTTTGCAGCAGGCCCAGGGGCCTGCGTGAGGCTCTGGGCTGCCTGTTGGGAGGGGCATGCTGCTAGCCTGGATCCCTGCTGGAGAGGTAGGCTGGGGGAGGTTAGAGGGTGTGGGGGGGAGTTATTTATTTGATTTTATGCACTCTCTTGCCATTGAATAATCACCTTGTTAGAAGAGCCAATGGGAGAGCCGTGCTGGGAGCTGGGGAGGCAGTCTGCAGGCAGTGCGTGCTCGTGGGAGACGGCAGTTAATGTCAGGGATATGCGGAGGGCTGGGAGATGATTGCAAAACCTGAATCTGGCTTGCGATGCGGAACATCCCCAGAGTTTGGGGTGCTCAGTGCCAGGGCACTGGACCTCCCAATGGGACTTGGGGTTCAAACACCTGCTTCCCTCTGCAGAGCTCACTGTGCCCCTGCGTTTTCACTACCAGCAAACCCTTCCCTCCCCTGCCCCAGGGGTTGGTATGCAGGCTCTGGGCAGGTGCCCGGGGGCTGCCAGTCTGTCAGGCAAGAGAGAGGTGCTATTGCTGCCCACAGCAGGGAGTCACTGGGGCTAACTGTCCGGGTCTAGCAGCAGGGACTTCCGGGGAGGCAGCCTGCTTTCTGAGCTGGCTGTGCCAGCCATGCAGACAGCACGAACGGGCACAGCAGGTGCTCAGCATTTGGGGACGAGCCAATCGGACGGAGGATCCTTCCCAGTAAGTGAGAAGGGAGCCAATCCCCTTGCCTCTGCGGTAGTGCCCAGAAGAGTCAGGAGTGGCTGGGAGCTGCAATGCGGGCACAGCTGGGCAGTGGGCTGTGCTGGCCCCCATCGGGGCAGGAATCCCCACACATCGGACTTGTGTTCCGCAACCACCGGCCTGAGGCAGACCCAGAGCCCCAGAGCATCTCCAAACTGCCCAGGATCTTGTAGACAGTCCCTGGCTCTCTAACAAGTCGAGCCCAAACACCATCTGAGCTCTGGGGCTGGAGCCTTTCCTTGGGGGTCCAGCTCCTCCTTAACCAGGGCCCGGCTCCCGGCTCTGAAATGAAGACACACATTGCTTCCGCTGCGCTTTGCTCTGGGATCCCCGATCCGTTGGACTCTGAGCCTCGAGCAACCAGGGCGCAACCCCCTGGGTGGGAACTGAGGTTTCTGTGAACTCTGACTGCAGGACACAGGCCTGGCGCTTCCCAGCAGGGAGAGGGATATTTGCCCCCCAAATGATCTTCCAGGGCCCCAAAGTATAGTCAGAGAGGCTGAACTACGTAGTGAGTGACCCAGCACTGAGCAGTGGAAGTGACAGTGACAAACTACTGATGCCAGAGCCAAATTTTACATTCTTAAATTCCAAGATTCCCCAGGTCTAACCAGGCCTGGGCTCCTGGAAGGCTGGTTGTGTTTTAAACAGCAACCTCTAGGGACCTCAACATACACACCAAGAAAGGGACCCTAGAACTGCCCCTGGCATAATCCCACGTAGTCGGGAACTGGGGACTCCCTGGCTCCATGGGGCTCCAGGGTTCTCTGGCCAGGTGGTCTAGAAAGCGCCTGGAGCCCCCCGCGTTGGCCCATGGAGCATCTGACTCTGTGGTCTGGGTTCAGGCTTGTTTCTCACGGGAGCAGCCAGCATAGGCACATGTGAAGGGCAGAGGAGATCCCAGGTGCTGAATGGGAGGAGATGGGTCCTCATCCCTACGCAAGGTGGAGCCCTGAAGGGCCCTGCTCTCCTCAGTCGGGCTGTCCATGCCCCTGCCCTGCAGCCCCCCTCCTTTCTCTGTGAATGGCCCAGGAGCACCAAGCACTGTCAGGCTCAGAGAAAGGGGTCGGTTTGTTAAAGTCCCCATCTCTCTCTCTCTCTCTCTCACCCCTCCAGCAATTCTCCCAGCCCCCAGCATCACAGCCAATGCATCTTCCAAGGGCCAGGCAACATGTCCTGATGAAGGCCATAGGAGACCTAGCAGCTGCTCCTTGCCTGCGGTGGGCATACGCCATGTCCTCTCGCCTCACCCGAGCAGGGTCCATCAGGTACCCGGCGTGTGTCTATGGTGGGGAATAACAAAGGAGCCCATTGATGTACCATTGATGATGTTTGCTCCAGGTACATAGAGGTCGTAGTCTATTTATAAAGACATTATTACCAATTAATTAATTATGTTTACATTGTTGAATCATGTACAGAATTTAATATATTCTATTCTAGATATTCTTTCTCAGAGGCTTTTTTAAAAATTATTATTATTTGGTTGATAGCATTCGTTCATTCATTCATTCAGTTTCGACACTCCCATTCTGTTTTCAGATGTATTTAATTCATTGCAGAAATAAATTGCCAATGACAGGTGGCTATGAAATACCCAGCCCCTCGCCCTGCCCTAGCCTGGGAGCGCTAAGGAGGGGTAGAGAGGAGGGGTGTGGCAGGGTGCTTTGCTTACCGTGGGGCTGGGGGCTGCAGGGCTGGGACCACCTATTAGCACCAGGGGTGTTCGGGGAGCAATGCTGCCCTGTGTGGGAGAAAGGAGGGAGTTACCTCCTTCCAAACCCCTGATCTTCCAGGCACATCTCCAGCAGCACAATAGAAGATGATGCCGTTAGGCACTGGATGGCATGTGCCATTGGCATGTGGCATCAGGCGGGCACCCCGCCCGCCCCTCCCAGCACCAGCCACACGCTTGGGGCTTTGGATCCAGCATCACCCCCATTGGCACAGTCCTTGCCAGGCTTGGCTCTGCTGCAAAGTCTCTGCTCCTCTCGGGTGCTTTGGGAGAGAGGGGATGGAGAGGGGAGTCACACCATCAGCTGACAGGGAACCCAGCCCAGGGGAGGCCAGGTTCTGTCCTGGGGATGGAACAGGCTCACTGGGGTGCCTAGTGCTTGGCATCAGGCCCAGTCACCACTCCTGCTCTCTGCCAGTCTCAGGGACTCTCCCTGCTCTCCGCAGGCTGGACGCCTCGACCTGCCCTTGCCCCCGGAGCTCAGTGCTAGCTGGGCCTTTGCGCTTACATCCCTCCCCACAAGGAGATGGGAAGAGGGACAGAGATGCCCAGGGAGCCCCTTGGCCTTGCCCAGCCCTGAGCATCCATTGGTACTTAGAGGAAGCAGCAGGAAGCCTCAGTCAGAGAAGAGCCCCCCCCCGGCATCCCCCGTGCCTGCTCCCCCCGCCCCGCCGTGTGTTTGACCTGGGAGGCCAGCCCCGGGTACGTCGTCTTGCGAAGCTGTCTGTGGTTCGTGACCGTGGGGTTGTCGTGTGTACGGTGGAGTTGTGTTGGTAAGCATTGTGTGTGCCGTCGTTGTGCAGTGCGAGGGATGTGGTGGCGGGCAGGGAGCGGGGCAGGGCGAACCATCACCCTGGGTGCCCAGCGACACCCACGCCCTCAGGCAAGGACACGGTCAGCCTCGGGCCTACGCGGGGGAGTTTAGGTGCAGGGCGGGAGAAGCATGGGCAGCACCCCCAGTGCCGGGGGGAGAGGAGGGGAGGGCCATGCGCGTGGGCCAGGGCTGCTCAGAGATCGGGACGGAGATGGGGGTGAAGCACATGGGGAGGGATTAGGTGGTGGTGGGGGGTGTCAGTCATTCCCTTGCAGCTCCATTTCCATCCCAGCCCTGGGCCCTGGTCTCCTGTATGCAAGGTTCAGATGATACGTGCCCAGGTCTGGTCTGGGCCCTGGGCACAGTCCCCTGCCCCCCACCTGTCTAGAGACCGGGGCCGGAGAGCTGCTCTCCCTGGTGGAATTGCTGCCAGCACCCCCCACTGCAGCTGAGGAGCATGGGGCCCCCGACGGCCCAGCGCGCTGCGAGCTGACTCCGTGCTCTGGTGCAGTCTGCGCAGGCCCACGGCAAGGAGCCGCACATGAGGCTGGGTAGGCCGAGGCTCTCTGGCCTGTGAGCACACAGCTGTGGTGTCTGCACTACACAGACTGTTGTCATGTGGCTTGGCCATGAGTCCACGTTTAAACACAGCTTCGGTGTCGCGTCCAGGGAGTTGGAGAGACGGCCGGGCTGCCCTGTCCTGCCCAGCCACGCTGGGACTCCAGGTCAGTGGCCACGTGCCAAGCCACCAGCCGCTTGGCTCCTAGCATGGCTGGGAGCACAGGGAAGGAGAAGGCTGGTTCTTTGATTTGAAGGAATCAGGGGGGTTATTTTAAATCTCCCTCAGGACATGGGTCCCCAAGCACAGCCCATACCCAGCCCCCTGGGAGACTCCTCTTCTGGACTTCCCACCCGGTTCCCTAGCACACTGTCCCCCTCTGCCCCATGCTCCCAGCCTGGCTCCCACATCTGGCCTGGTGGGGCCTGGCTTCAGTGACTCAGTGACAGGCACACAAGCCAGGAGCAATCCGATAGCGGAGCTGGCTCCTCAGAGGGACTGGCTCCAGCAGTTTGCTTTATACAGATGTTTCAGTTCATTCTTTCCCTCGTATTTATAACTGTACAAACTTGGGGGGAGGGTTTCGAACAGGCTGTTATCTCTCACCGCACATATATTGTAGGCAATGTAACCTTCTTGATTGTGCTATTAGAGTTTGTGTATGTGGCAATGTAAAGAACTGTGTATAGTGCATTGTACAGCATATTTTCATGAATAAAATTGTTTTAAATATTACAAGTATGGCCAGCTGACTTCCGTGCTTGTGGGTGCATGAGTGCGTGTGTGTGTTTGCAGGCGCACATGTGTGTGCGCGCATGTGCGTACCCCTGTTTGTGTGTGTGCAAGAGATGGAGGGGTCAGTGTGGTGACCAGAGAGGGAGTGTACCAGAGAGGGAGTTGGAAGGTTAAAGGGGGGGACAAGTATAATAATCAATACTTGTGAGCCATATTGTTTTGTTCCTGGCAAACACACCGAGATGTTGGATAAAAACATTGACACTCTTGCTGGAAGGCTACAACATCACACAACTTTATTTCTTAGAATTCAGAACAATAAAGCACAGGAACTCAAAATCAGAGAAAGAGAAAGCAGGCTGCTCTTTAAAACAGAGAGGCCCAATTCACCCCTGCTAGCCCTAAGCTGGCTGGCTGCAGACTGACTCTGATAGACCCAGATCCCCTGCTTCTCTCCAGGTCTCCCTTGCCTACAAGCAGACCCAGGAACCCCCTTAGAACGTAAAGGGATAGCTTACAAGTTAACACATTTTACAACACACCTCAGCTATCAAGGAGCCCATCTGACCCTTGGGCACTTGGAACTAAAGACCAAACTGAAAGTTAAAGGAAGGCAGGACTTCCAAAGTGTCCGTGGCCCTGCTGGACCCTCCTGGGGCAATGGGATGGCTTCTCCAAGTGACCATCACTACTGCCAAGAGGTTCCGGTGCATGAAGCTGTGCAATCACTGGACACAGGACAAGTACAGAATGGATCCAGATCTGCCACTTGTCTGCTGGGCCAGGGCAGTGGGGCAGGAAAATGGGGTCTCCAGCACCCCAGAGGCTGGGCTGGACTCATGAGTGTCGGTGTGCCAATCATAAGACTGGGCAATAGACGAAAATCAGTAAATTGCAGCATTTGTGTAGTGGGGACCTGCTCCCCGTGGTGAGACAGAGGCTGCGTGTGTGGGCCGTGGGCTGGGCAGGGGATGTGAGCGGCAGGCCCAGTCGGCCCAGAGAAGTGATCACTGCACCACTGGCCTGTGTCACCTCTGGCCCCTTTCCCACTATGTGGCCATAAATCCTTCCCCTCCACTTCGGCCGGCTCTGAGCACCAGTGAGATTCTGCTGCCATCTGTGAAAAGATGGAAGCCAGCCATTCCCATAGCCCCTTCTGCCAGGTCAATGCCCCTCACGCCACCTCCCCATTGACAGATGGGTCCCCCTACCATCCCCTCACGCCAGATCCCCATTGACAGACAGGTCCCCCTGCCACCCCTCACGCCACCTCCCCATTCACACCCATGGCCCCTCAGCCAACACCCCCTCATGCCACCTCCCCATTCACAGCCACGGCCCCTCTGCCAACACCCCCCTCATGCCACCTCCCCATTCACAGCCACGTCCCCTCGGCCAACACCCCCCTCATGCCACCTCCCCATTCACAGCCACGTCCCCTCGGCCAACACCCCCCTCATGCCACCTCCCCATTCACAGCCACACCCCCCTTGCCATCCCCCTCACCACCTCCTCATTGACAGCCACGTTCCCCTGCCAACGCAACCCCCACACATCACCTCTCTATTCACAGCCAACTGTCGTTTCCATGGCCCTCACTCACTCATGTGCAGCTGCAGCTAGTTATGCCATCTCCAATCGCCTCATAGCTGGAAGTGGGCCTGAAGTGGTGCCTAGCCTTGGGTAGGCCTTCCGCCCTGCAGCAAACACCACCCTTTGATGCTTTAAGCTTCAGTTCAGCACTTAGCCGACCCCGCTGAGCATGGCGGCAGGGACCCTCTGCCTGCCAGCTGAAGGCTCACTCGTGGACTGAGCTCTCTGACTTCAGTGCCCAATTTGCAAGCTGGGCTCCCAATTTTTTTAATCACCAAAAAACCGGCCACAAAGCAAAAGGCAGCATGAATCCACTGAGTGATGTGTGCAACACGTCGATTTTAAGGCCCAGAAGGAGCTCTGTGATCAGCCACTCGGATCCCCCGTAGAACGGCACCGAGTGAATGCTGCCTGGGGCCCAAGCACTTGTGGGTGAGTTAGAGATGTTTCTGTTCATGTAGGTCCATTCCTATAAAGTCTCCACCATCCTAGTCATAAAAACAGCCTGTAAAACTGGAGTCTGTCTTAACCTTCCACGGAGGCTGGAACCATCTGCCAGTGAGTGAAACAAAAATATTGTCCCACATTATCTTGACATTTTTATTGACATAATTTTTTATGGACTTTAGCTTTTACTGATGACTGCGATGATTGACGGCCTCTATCACAGCAGTCACCAGCCTCTCACTGCCCACTGGGGTCTTCGCTGAGCTCAGCCACCCACTGCGAGAAACTCCTGCGTCTCTACACCTGCTGCCCTGGCCAGTAGTGCAGCTGGGCAGCTCGGCAGCGGGGGTTAGTTACCTACACGTTTCCATTTGACCAGCTCTTACGGTGACTTTCAGCTTTTGAAATGTACCTCCTTCTGGACTGATTTCCCCCCGCCCAAGTCTTGAGATGAAATTTTCAAAAGCTCATAGGTGAACGAGGAACTCAGGGGCAGATTTACCAAGGGATTTAGGCTCCTAGAGATGCAGAGAGGCAGTAGTGGGAGTTTCAAAAGTGCCTAAGTGAGTTAGGCAACTAACTCCCACTGACTCTCTGTGAGTTCGGCCCCAGACAGACAGATTTCAAAGGTATTTAAGCTCCAGACAGGTTCAAAAGTGCCTGAGCCTAACTCCCATTGAAGTCAATAGAAAACCCTACTCAGTGCTTCCCTACCTTTGTAAGGCTGGCCCTGAGTCACTCTTGGAAATGGGAATTAGGCTCCCAAGGCCCTTAGAAGGTTACTGTTACTCGCTTCTCTGAAAGAAAATTTGCGGGGAAAGACTGAGGGGGCAAACCCCCCAAACACCAACAATTCCCAGGGATAAAATGTTTTAAATCAGGCCTGGATAACTCGCAGCCCAGAGTCCTATGGGAGTTGGCTGAGGAGAGCTCTGGCCCACTGATGTTCAGTTTTAATACGTCTTGGAATAGCAGGGAGATTCCAAAGACTGGGCTATTGGTAATGTTGGGCCGATATTCAAAAAGGGCACATGGCATGACTCAGGTGACTACAGGCCAGTTAGTCTGACAGCAATCCTGGGCAAAACAATGGCAAAGCTGAGACGTGGTGTGGCTGATAAAGAATGAAAGGATCGGAATGTAGATCAAGATGGTTTATATGGAATATGTCTGGTATTTGTTGACGAGATTACACATTTGAACGATAAAGGTAACTGCATTGATGTGGTGTTTGTAAGGCATTTGACTTCGTGCTGCACGACATTCTGATTAAAACCCACCACTGCAGAATAGCAATAGAGCCCACGTAAGTGGTTTAAGAACTGACTGACTGACTGACAGATCTCAGAAAGTAGTGGTCAGTGGGAGTCATCATTGAATAGGGGTGTTCTAGTGGGGCTCCACAGGTGTGGGTACCTGGCTTAATGCTATTCAACAACTCAGCGTGAACTCCCAGTGCAATGCTGTGGCCAAAAAGGTGTATGAACAGACGTAGAGACAGGGAGGTGGTTTCCCTTGGTCTACAGCATTGGAGAATACTGGAATACTACGTCCAGTTCTGGTGTCCACATTTTAAAAAGGACGTTGAAAAAGGCACAGAAAAGAGACACCAAACTGATTCAAGGGCTGGAGAAAATGCCTCTCAGTGACAGACGCAAATAACTCAATCACTTTGGTTTATCAGGAAGGAGACTGAGAGGTGATTTGATTAGTGTGTAAGAACCTTTCTGGGGAAAATAATGCCAGGTGCTACTAGAGGGCTCTTTACTCTACCAGGGAAAGGCAGAACAAGAACCAATGGCTTGAAGATGAAGGCAGACAAATTCAAATTAGCAATAAGACACGTTCTTACCATTGAGGGTGATTAACCACCACAACTAACTCCTGAGGGAATTGATGAAGCCTCCATTTCTCTACAGCTGCAAGTCAAGACTGGATGACTTTCTGAGAGATTCCTAGATTCCAAGGCCAGAAGGGAACGATTGTGATCAGCTAGTTTGACCTCCCGCCCTGCACAGGCCAGAGAACGTCCCTACATTAATTCCGGTTGGAACTAGAGCAGGTCTCACAAATCATCCAATCTCAAATGTTTCTAGTGATGGAGACTCCATCACAACCTGGATAAGTTGTTCCAAAGATTAAATCGCCCTCTCAGCTAAAAATTGCACTTTATTTCTATTCTAAATTTGTCTAGCTTCAACTTCCAACCATTGGATCATGTTATATCTTTGTCTGCTAGACTGAAGAGCCCTCTATTATCAAGCAGCAAAGAGTCCTGTGGCACCTTAAAGACTAACAGATGTATTGGAGCATGAGCTTTCGTGGGTGAATCCCCACTTCGTCAGACGCATGTGACATTACATTATGCTCCAATACATCTGTTAGTCTTTAAGGTGCCACAGGACTCTTTGTTGCTTTTTACAGATCCAGACTAACACGGCTCCCCCTCTGATACTCTATTATCAAATTTCTGTTCCCCATGTAGAAACGTATAGACTGTGATCAAATCACCCTTAACAAGGGTTAGATTAGATTACCATTGCGGTTCATTCTAACCTTAGGAGTCTATGATTCTGTGATTCTCTTTGGTAAACTAAATAGATTGAACTCCTTGAGTCTATAGCTATGAGTCCTGTTTTCCAATCCCCCGATCATTCTTGTGGCTCTTCAATGAACCCTCTCCAATTTATCAACAGCCTTCTTGAACTGTGGACATCAGAACTGGACACAGTATTCCAGCAATGGTCACACCACTGCCAAATATGGAGGTCAAATACCCTCTCTACTGCTACTTGGGCTTGGTCTACACTACCCCCCTAATTCGAACTAAGGTACGCAACTTCAGCTACGTGAATAACGTAGCTGAAGTCGAAGTACCTTAGTTCGAACTTACCTTGGTCCACACTCGGCAGGCAGGCTCCCCCGTCGACTCCGCGGTACTCCTCTCGCCGAGCTGG